GCGTTTTCCGATTTTCTAATCCAAGCATGTGGAGTGGGGAAAGAAAACCAGCGGGGCTAGTCTGCGGCCACGCCACCCTGAACACGCCCCATCCCGACTGATCTGGGAAGCTAAGAGGGTCGGGCCTGGTTAGTCCTTGGATGGGAGACCACCTAGGAAGACCAGGTGCCGTAGGCGGTAAAAACAAACAGAAAAACGAAAACCATGCTTTTGTCCAAAGCACATTTGAGTCCTAACAGTGCAAGACTCGGTCGTCTTGAGTTTTACGCTCTTGGCACATACATTCTGCTGTGGCTCGGATGAGAAGGCCCATTGTCGAAACCCGTGAATTCTGACCCGAGCCCTGGATCCGCCCACCTGGTCTTGCTATTGCCGATAACGCACACCATGCTGCCCTCTCGTGGTGATCCAGAGGTTTTCATTCCCAAATTCAGATTTGAATGTTCTCTTTTCTGGGCAAATGTGACAGCCAGCTGGCACAGCTCCAGCCAGGTGCCCACCAGCTGTTTCCCAGCGGGTCGTAGCTGTTCTTGCTGCATATTCTTACACTGTAGCTGTTCTTGATACATATTCTGCCAGCGTCTGAGACGTGGTCAGCCACTGCTGGAGCTCTGCCATTTGAGGCCAGATCCGTTAAAACTGACAACCCATTTACTCGGTGGCACAGCACTCAAGGCAAAAATTTCTTCATTTTCATTAATAAGTGCTGTCATCTTTGTAGTCTTTGTTACTTGGATTAAAGAAGAAACAAATGAGTTGGGAAATTTGCATTTTGTAGTTTTCCAGACCACGTAGAACATCGTACCTGTTTTCTCGGTGTGTCTATGCAGTTTTAAAGAGTCTAACCCTGTCCACTTAAAAAGTTTTATTTGAAGTAGTAAACTTGGGATGCATTCAAAAAAATTGAAGGACTCGTGATATTAGCTCTTTTTACCAGCAGCAGAAATATCAAGGGTACCTATAAGGTGACACTCTACCTCTTCACCGTCCAATAAAGTAGCCACTAGCCACGCAAAACTATTTAAATTGATTAAAATTAAATGAAAGCTCCCTAGGTTGCCAAGGCCACATTTCACGTGCTCGGTGGCCGCAGCGGCTGACGGCTCCTGTTTTGGAGAGTCGGATGGAAAACGTCTCCATCGCTGCAGAACGTTCTAGACAGCAAGCACTGCTCTCCACAAGCGTGGCATTTGCTTGTGATCATTTTAATTTTCTGTGCAAATTATCGTTGCTGGTCGTAGGGGAACCTAGCACTATAGAAGAGAAACAGATTTTGGTGCAGAGTTCTGGTTTTTATCATGCACTTAGTGGTGTGACCAAGTTTTTGAGCCTTTTTTTAAATGTGAAAGAGACCCAGTAGTGTGTACTTCACAGGGCTGCTGGGAGGGCAACATGGCCCTGGAACAGAGCCCAGCCGTTGTAGACCTTGACAGGTAGCAGCAGGTGGCTTCCAGGGCTGTGCCGGGGACCAGGGGCTCAGAGTGACTGGGCCAGATGGGGAGGAAGGGGGAAGAGGCTGGGATGGAGGATCACAGGATGAAAACATATAAAGTCCACGGACTTTCACAAAGCCACGTGTTCTGAACATTTTTACCTATTTCCTTAAACCTCACCCTCATAACACTGAACGTCTGGGCCATTCTTCTTAGGATCAAGACATAACGAAGCAGGAGCACAGCTTGAATGTTGAATTCGGGTCGGCAGAGTAAATACTGGCCGTCGTGCTGCCCCACTTAGAGCTGGAGCTTTCTCCAAACCACTCAAAAACAGTTATTTAAAATAAAAAAGTAGGCCATGTAAAAGTTCCTCGGTAGGTTTATGGGATAAGTGAAAAATGAGACTTTTTAAGTAACATATGAAGAACAATGCATCTGCCTGGCACCTGCATGGGGTTTTCTCCCCTCCCCCACGTTGCCCGCAAGATGGGCAGAGTGGTCACGGGTTTCTTTGCACCTTAGGGAAGGAACATTTTTTCCCACGACTACGTGTTTTGGTGTGGCGATTTCAACTACCGCATCGATCTCACTTATGAAGAAGTCTTCTATTTTGTCAAGCGCCAAGACTGGAAGAAACTCCTGGAATTTGATCAGCTACAGCTACAGAAATCCAACGGAAAAGTAAGTCATGCCTTTAAAATCTTTTTTAGCAGCTGCTCCCATAGGGAGTAACGTCTGCTAAACGTATCTGCTCGCGTTGGGAAAAATGTAAGCTCCGTGAGGAGGTTTAACAACGATTCTGACAGGCGTGGCCTGTGAAGGCAGGGAAACATGAGCGTCCATTCACACGCTTCCTGTTCCTCCTCCGATGGGCTGCGCTCAGAGTCTGTGTGTCCTCTTGTTCGTGGGGCCATTGCTAAAGGACACTGGTGAGCATGCAGGCCAGCCACAGGAAAAAGTGGCAGTGGAAGTCTCTCTGCCAACACCACAGCCCGTGCTCTGGTTTCAGGCGGGTCCGCTGTCCCTTACCCCTTCACACAAGCTGAGCCTTCCTTCCTGTCTCCAGAGAGTAAGTAGCTGAACTCAGTTTGTCGCAGCTGCACCACACGGCCCCGCGTCAGCATCAGAGCACCCCGCAGTGTACGGATGGTGAATGCCGGTGTCTGCGGGTCCCCCCACCCCCACACTCACGTGCAAGCCTTGTGGAGACCGTGGACTTCAGATACACTAAGCCACCAAGGCACTTTAGGCTCTGCTCACCTCTGCTTTGGTGATATCCCTGTTTCCCCTTGGTGAAGACACTAACAAGATGACAATATCTAATACGCTTTACATACCGATTGGTTTGGGTAATTCTCAGGACCGTCCTCCACACTGGTTACTCTGCCCGTCTTGTAGACATCCTTGCCTTGTGCCTTTCACTGTCTGTGGGGACTGACGAGCTGACAGGGTGACGGATCGGGTGCCGGAGGTGGGGGTGGGGAGGCCCGATGGCAGCGTGTCCGTCAGCCGAACAGATAATCATCACTTTTTTTGCTAATTAAAAGGCGCACACGTGTCCAGTTTTAGACATATTTGTAAATACAATGTAGATTCTGTGATTTTTAGGGATAGAGCAGCCTGCAACGTGCCTTTTTTACTTTTGTCTCTGCATCTAACATACATAATCAAAGAGAACTAAGGTGGTCGTGTGACTCCTTTTTCTTCCAATAGATTTTTAAAGACTTTCACGAAGGCAGCATTAATTTTGGACCCACCTACAAGTATGACGTTGGCTCCGCTGCCTATGACACAAGTGACAAATGCCGCACCCCAGCCTGGACAGACAGGGTGCTGTGGTGGAGGAAGAGGCAGCCTTTTGACAGAACAGGTGTGTGAGAGGTGTGCGTAAAACAGATGATCAGTGCCATGTCCGGAAGGTCACTTCTCTTCAGCTCAGTGCTCTTCGCTATAAAAATGACATTCTCGATAACCCCAAACGACACAACAGTCACCCCAGATGTCAGCCCCTAAACTTTGGAAGCTGTGCTTTGGGGGAGCTTCCCTCTGTCCCCCTGCATCCTGGCTGTCCCCACCCCACTGCTGTGTCTGCCTTTTGTTCCGGGCAGCGTACGGGGACGGAAGCCGTGGCTCTGCCCTCTCATACGCATGCGCTTTATCCATCCCATTCCGTTCACCAAACTCTTACCTGCTTAAAGCCCCAGTTCCAAATCGAGCATGTGCAAGGCACAGGAAAGATGAGAGTCAGTTATCAATTAGTTGCCAGGTATGTCTTGAATGATGATTGCCCAGCTAGGAAGTGCAGTTGATTTAAATTTAGAACACTTATAAACTGGTGTATAAGCAACTAAATGTTTCTGGGAAGATGCGTGCTGAGATTTCAAAGCCAAGAAATCACATCTATAGATTAAAAAGATACGCTTTCGTTTGGATCAGTTTGTAGACATCTGCGTGGCACCAGGGTGCTGAAGGCAGGGAGGCCTTCACCTTCTTAGCCTCTGCGTCTCCTACTGTACGAAGGGCTGCAGATCTCCTGTGTCCCTTTGCCCCTGGGGCGGAAACCCTGTAGCAGCAATTTCTATCCCCCCACCCCCACCCCCCGCCTAGGATAGCCACTGTGGGGAGGATGCAGGTGGCACTGGTCTTACTGTTTTGGACAGTTCACATAGGACAGTCTTTACTCCAGGCCCCAGGGCATGGTTTTAAGCCCAAGGGATAAGAGCGAATGAGTCTGAGACAGGTGTGGTCCATTGTCAGCATTCATGTATATTAACACAATTTTGTGTCGTCCATGGGTCTCTTCATTGGAATCCTATGAGTAGCCGAAGAACTCAACCTTCTAGACAACGACCTAGATGCTGACACCAAAGTCAGACACACCTGGTCTCCTGGGATCCTCAAGTATTACGGCCGAGCAGAGCTGCAGGCGTCTGATCACAGGTATGGTTCTCGCTGCCACAGGCACGTGCTGCTCTGCTAGGGAAGGCAGTGTCTGCTGCTTTCCACAGAGGACGGTATGCTGTGCCCATCGGAATGTGTGGGCCCTCGTACGTGTGTATGTGTGTGTTTGTAAAACAGCAAGGAACAAGGAATACTGTGACAAATAGCTGTGTACCCACCACCAAGAATTAATCAACATTAGCATTTTATCATTGCTCTGAACCGTGACATTACTGATGAAAACTTCAAAGACACAATCTATAGTATTATGTCGTTTAAATTCTCATAAGGAACGTCACTGTGCAACTTAACTTTTTACTGCTTAATATTTCGGAGACACAGTCATGTTGATATTACACGTCACTATCTGAGACCTGGCTCCTTCATTTGTAACTGCTGTCCAGTTTAGTTCCACTAAATAGATCCATGGAATTTGCCTGTTCGTATATTGATGAATGTGTTTTTTTCTAATGTTTTATTAAAAACACCATAGAGTTTCAGGGTTTTTAAACACGTTAAGCTGTTGGCTTAGCTTGTGTGTCATGCATTGCGGATGGAACACAGGCAGTGGAGGTCTGTCAGCCCACGAGCACTGGGACCCTCCACAGAGGGAGATTCGTCTCATAGAAGAAGGGTCCCCAACCCCTGGGCTGTGGACGAGTACTGGTCCATAGCCTGTTAGGAACCAGGCCGGACAGCAGGAGGTGAGCGATGGAGTGGTGAGCAAAGCTTCATCTGTGTTTGCAGCCGCTCCCCAGAGCCGGCACCACCGCCTCAGCTCCACCTCAGATCCTCAAGCAGTAGATTCTCATGGGAGCACCGATCCCTGGTGCCAGAAAAGTTGGGGACCGCTGTTATAGACATCTTTTAAAGGATGGCGTTTGAGGGCATAGACAGGAGGAGTTTGATCTCCCCATATCTGCCACTAAAACTAAGAGTGGGTGGTGAACAGTTAGTGGTCAGCCACTACGTCTACATCTTTAGATACTGCTAAATTCTTTAGAAACCTGTGGTTGCAAATGTACAATATTTGCCTCGTTGTAAGTGAGCCTCGGGAAATCTTCAGATGTTTGACTTTCAGGTTCAGGAAGTGTATTTAGAAGCGTTCCCTTCACCACAGTTTATTGGGGACACTTATCTCCAGGCCCTGTTCCTGGCACTGAGGATAAGCCGTGAACAAAACAGAGGAGACCATGGTCTCATGGAATTTTCTAGTGAGGACAGACAGGAAACAAATAAAAGTACTATGAAAGAATAAAAGGGTGGTGGCAGGGGTCAGACAAGCGGTCGGTGCTGTTCTACCCCGTGCTCAGGGAAGGCCCCTCTGAGGAGGTGGCGTTGGGGCCGAGACCGGAAGGAAAGAGCGTGCGCCGTGTGGACATCAGGGCGGGCAGTGGGGCAGCCGACTGTCCCGAGTCGGAGAACAGGGAGGCCGGAGAGAAAAGAGTGAAGGGCAGAGTCGTAAGGAGACGAGACAAGATGAGCGAGAAGGGCAGACTTGTTGGAACCTCGTGGGCCGGATTTTACTGGGAGCTGAGTGACTGGGGTATGACAGGCTCCAGGGGGGCCGGGGAGGAAGCGGTGCCGACTCTGCGCCAGGAGGTCGTAGGTCGCGTGGCGAGGCGTGGCTGGGTCCGGGTAGATGTTGAAAGCGGACAGAATTGGCTGATGGATGTAGCGGGTGTGAGAGAGAGAGAGCAGTTGACAGTGACTCCAGGGTTTGGGACCTGAGCGACAGGAAAGACGGAGTAGCCTTTACTCGGCTGGGAAGACAGGGAAGTGCAGACTTGGCCATGGTGGTTTGAGATGCATCTTAGACACATTGTTTTTTTCTAATTACAAAAGCCAAACGTCATGTTACAGTTAGGAAAAAATATACATAAACGAGCAAGATACCCTAGTCCCGGCCCCTAAGACAGTGTCTGGCGATGCTTAGTTAGGTGTCTCCCCTGCATTTTCCATGCACGTTAGACATTTCTACATACAGACGTTAACCCGTTGGCAGTGTGTGTCACCTGCATGCACGCTTAGAGATGTAAAACGCGTATCAGAAAATTAGGATTTTAGCATGTGAACTGTCATTTTTTTTCTTACTGCAAGTAATTATAGATTCACGTGACCCTGGTACCGTTTACCCCGTCCCCCCCAGTGGTAAGACCTCCTAAACCTGTAGTACGGGGTCACACCAGGATGTGGACACCAACATAGTCAAGATACAGAGCATTTCTGTCACCACAGGGGTCTCGTGTTGCTTCTTCGTAGCCGGACTCATTTCCCTCCCCCTCCATCCTCACCTCTGCCAACCCCTAATCTTCCCCACCCTTTGCATCGTTTGCGATTTCAAGAATGATAAATGGAATCCACAATGGGGGACTGGCTTTTTCACTCAGAATTCTCCGGAGAGCCAGCCCGTGTTGTGTGTGTCAGTAGCCCGTTCCTTTCTGTCACTGGGCGAGTGGCACTGCCTGCTCCTGCTTCATCAGAGACGCTCCCCTTCTCCCCAACATGAGTAGCTTCTCTGAAAAGGTTTTCTGCTCAAAGAAGTTTGGAAAAACCCTCAATCCGCATCCCTGGGTCAGATTTTCCCCCATCTTCCTTTTTCTTGCTTCTGGATGCAAAAATAGAAACGTATGCGGGGTGCACTACTGATATTATCACCATACCTCTTAATTTTTACAGCATCCCCTAGTTTTAAAGGGTGCCACCATGTCATGTACTTTTTTGCGTTGTGTTTTACTTCCATTTACTATTGTATTGTAAAGGTCTTCAATGTTATATAATCTTCACAAGAAAGGATTTTCTAACTTTTTTGTAAGTAGAGCAAACCCATCCCTATATCGAAATTACAATAATGACTGCATTATTTCCTGCGGATCTGTTCTCCTTTGTACGTCAAATAGGTTTCTACCAAGTTAGTCTGAATGAGCGCATAGCGTGTTCTCATATGGCTGCGTCATAACTTAACTGTTTTCCTATTAATGAACAGTTAGCTTGTCCGCCCCGCCCCCCATCAGCAGGCTGGTAGTGATGAGCATTGTGCATGAATCTTGGTTGGAATCTCTGGTCAGCTCCTTAGAACAAAGTCTTAGAATTGAGATCAGCAGGTCAAAAGAGATGAGCGTTGTTGCGATTCCTAACACACATTGCCAAGTAGTCCTCCGAAAAGCTCGACCCTCAGCAGAGGTGGGGTGCCCGCTTCCCCGCGTGGTCAGCAGTGCTGGTGATTACCACACATGAAATCTTTGCTGATGGTTGGAGGTGACCTCTCAACGCATCTTTAGATTAAAAAAAAAAAAAAATGCGTGACCACACACGCAATCTGTGCTGATGGTTGGTGGTGTCCTCTCAACGCATCCTTAGATAAAAAAAAAAAAAATGCGAAGATAGTACTAAGATTGGGGCAAGATGAAGACTTCAGTCCCTGAGACAGATCAGCAAGGCTGCAGGTGTCCGTGCTGGGGCCACATCCTGTTTGCAGCACGGCTCTGGGGACTGGGGGTGGGGGGTGCTGCGTAGCCGTCATGTCCCAGTTAACCGTTGCCCGTCTTCCCTCCGTGTCTAACGCAGACCCGTGCTGGCGATCGTGGAGGTGGAAGTCCAAGAAGTTGACGTGGGTGCTCGGGAGAGGGTGTTCCAGGAAGTGTCCTCTTTCCAGGGTCCCCTGGATGCCACCGTGGTCGTCAACCTCCAGTCGCCAACCTCGGAGGAGAAGAACGAGTTTCCTGAGGACGTGCGCACAGAGCTCATGCAGACCTTGGGGAACTACGGGACGATCGTCCTCGTCAGGTAGCCACCGTCCCTGCTGGCGTGGGCTCTGGCGCGGGCCCGTGGGGCCTGCCGAGTCGCTCGTGAGGTGGACTTGCCTTACGCCTTTATTCCAGGATCAACCAAGGGCAGATGCTGGTGACTTTTGCAGACAGCCACTCGGCTCTCAACGTCCTAGATGTGGACGGCATGAAGGTGAGTCGTGCTCGGCCACCGCGGAGCGGGGGCTCCTCAACCCCCCTGGTGTTCTTGTCCTTTCACTGGATCGTGTTGTCCCCTCTCCTCGCCTGTGCCTTTAGAGGTGCCACATGAGGGCAGGGGCTAGGGCTCTTCATTCTGGCATCTTCCCTGAGACGTCTTGAAAGACTCAGGAGGAAGAGCGAGTCTTAGGGGTCGGCTCCCACTGAGTTACAGAGTCTGTCTGTGCGCGCACCTCCTGGGGCAGCTGCTGCCATTTTTCCCTTCATAGTGTGTGTTTTGAAACACGCATCCCACAGGGAGTTACCGTTTTTGATAACATCCTGATTTTAAAGTCACATGGAGTGAAAAGCTAGAGATGACAGCTCCACTTTCATGTAGAGCAAATGTGAGCCTGGCCGAGGTGTGGATCCTTCATTTTTCATGGCAGATGTGAAGATCGGTCTGGCTCCTGATGCATGAGTTTGAGCGAGACCGAAGTTTGGGGACCCAAGGGGGTTGTCTGGCTCCTGTGTCATTCTCAGTTGGCTGCGCTCCCTCACAGGTGAAAGGCAGGGCAGTGAAGATCCGACCGAAGACCAAGGACTGGCTGAAAGGTTTGCAGGAGGAGATCATTCGAAAGCGGGACAGCTTGCCCTGCGTGTCGCCCACGGCCAGTTCCTGTTTGCTGGAGGAGAACTTCGACTTCACGAGCTTAGACTACGAGTCAGAAGGCAAGTAACTCTGAGGTGTCCTCAGGCGTCGGTATGGTGAGGCGGGCAGGCGGTTCTCCCAGCAATGGCCGTGGGGGGTCAGGATCCCTTCTGAGACCCAGCCTGGAAAAGGTGAAGGTGGGTCTGTTCCGTGTGGTGAGCTGGGCAGTATTCATGTATAAGACGATGCAGGAAATGGTAAATAGGACCTGGAGACGTCTAAAATTACGTTAAAAATCGTGGATTTGAGGATGTCAGGGCTGTGGGCTTGGTCCTCGACCCAGGCATGAATGGAATTCGGGTCCCATCCCAGATGACACATGGGTGCCCATGGCCCGTGTTGAAACGGACCCACCGGTGGAAGGCTGTGCCGTCTCACACTAATTGTTTGCTGTGACTCATTTCCTTCCCCAAGGGGATATTCTTGAAGATGACGATGACTATTTGGATGAGCTGAGTCAGCCTGTGGTCTCAGACAGTGAGCTGGGGGGGGAGGAC